ATGGATGCTGTCCACAGGAAAAAAAACAAAACAAAGAACATTGAACCATGACTTTCCAAGCTCAGTGCTTCAGAGACTCAGTCAGGGTTCCTTCTAGATCCTAAAAAGACCCAGAAAGAGCAGCAATGGGACCATCTCCTCCCCCAGTCATCATGTGCATGACCTTGCCATCACAGGCAAACCTGGCCTGCAATCCAACTCATCTGTTTATTATGATATCTTCATCTTGCTGGGATTTTTGCCCTGCCAGTGCTCTAGAAATGGTGCTTTCTGTCCCTGGGGTTTCTTCCTTGCACTAAACACCAATGACTTACATAGGTCCCTGCATATGCAAGACAGGCACTGTGCAAATTTCCATAGGGACAGAAAGCAGTGTCTGCCTTTCCATGCCCTGCCCCTTGTGTGCTGGATGGCACCTTCCTTCCCAGCAGGGCCAGCCCAGTGGCACCGGGCCCTGCAGTTCCCTCTCTGCCACACAACCTGGCAGTAACCCTGGCACAGTTCCCGTCTGCTTGAGCGTGCCAGGCAGCAGATGGGGCTGGGACAAGTCCCTCCCAGCTGTCCCTGTTTGCGTGGCAGAAACCTCTAAGGGTGGGCTGGGGGGCACAAACCAGGGCCCCTCAGAGGCTCACAGTGAGCCCCCCACAGCCCCTCCTGCCCACAGCCAAATCTCTGACTGCTCAGCTGGGACTGGCTTCCCTGGGTTCCTGCACCACCATTTCATGTCTCTGTACCCTGCATTGCTCTACTTCAATTCTTTTGCCATTAGATAACATGAAACACCCCAGCAAATTACAATACAGGGTGACAGAAACAGTCATAAAACAGAGCACCTCTCCTCTCAGGAAATGCAGAGAGAGGTGGAGTTATTCAGATTTGTGAAGAACAGGCCCTAGGGAGTCTTTGCTGCCACTTTCCAAGACTTCAGAGTGGCTTTAAAGAAAGTGGGGACACCTTTTTTAACGGTTCCAGTTACAATAGAATGTGATGAATATTTTTAATCAAAATGGGGATCAAGTCCGACTAGGTCTAAGGAAGAACTTGTTTACTCAGAGCATAGTGCAATACTGTCATAGGCTGTCCCAAGAGCTTGTACGTGCCCCATTCCAGGTCAGGCGCCAAAGGGCTCTGAGCAACCTGATTGCTTTAAAGATGTCCCTGCTCATTGCAGGATTTTGGACCGGAGGACCTTCACAGGGCCCTGCCAGCCCAGCCCAGTCTAGGATTCCTCACTATTTTCAGTTGAAGAGCAGCAAGAGTGGAGGTGAGGAGGAAGGGGGCTCAGCTGATGCCTTGGACTTGAGTGGAGGAGGAGTCCAACCCTCAGAGCCTGTTTCACCTGCAGCCCCTTCACATTTTACCTTCAGGAGCTCCTTGGCAGACCAGCGACACTTCACGTCTATCTGCAGGCAGCAGCTCAGGAAGTCGCGCAGGCAAGATGAGAATCTGTTGGGCTGCCGCAGCTGTGGTCTCTCTCCCCTGGCTGTCAGTTTAACCTACAGAAAAAGGAAACACCAGGCTCCACCTGCTGCTTTCACATCTCTAAGTGCTCTCCCAGATCCCTTTGTTTACCCTCTGTTCTTCAGTGGCAGTTTTTGCCCAGGCAGAGACCCAGAGATGACTTTCCTTTACCAACAAAAAACCCAAACCCCGATGCAGCCACAGCTTTTCCACCATCCTGCAGATTTTTCCTTGGCAGCTGATTTCATTGACTGACCTAGTAAGTGGGACTTACATCAGCAAAGCATGTTTCCTTCCCTGAGGACTCACATCAGCTTGACAGGCTTTTTGGAAGAGGGACTGTGCTATACTAACTCTACTATTTGCAAGGAATAGTACATGAAAGGCATCTCTGCAGTGCGTGTTGGTCCCTGAAACACAACTGCCATAAAACAAATCTCATTGAGCTTTTTTTCGTCTTCTAGAAAACAGTGGTAAGTGGAAGGAAAGAAAGGAAATTCACCAGCTATTCCTCAGGAAAAGAAAACAAACATTTGGAATCTCATATTCAACACAGACACATTAAGATGCATGCGCAAATATATTGAGATGAAAATGCCTGCTTGGGTGCACAGGAGCCACATGTAGTTCTGTCTCTCAGCTGCACATTTTGGCTTCTTTATGTGGCACAAGGAAACCTTTTCATGGTCAAATCAGAAGAAGTGCCATGCCTATGGTCACTCTCTGCTCATTTGGATGCTCAAGTCAATGCATTAAAGGTGTCCCCATCACAGAGAGCGTTGGGTAAGAAATGGGAGGTTTGGCAGCATCTCCATGACCCCAGGCTGCACCCTGGTCTCCATAAAAATGCCCATCACAATGCTAACAGCTCTGTGCTGGTGGCACTGAAATAGATGGTGACCAAAGAGACTTTGTTATTATCCTCTTCAACCCAAAGGAAAATTTCCAAGCCTAAAACAACAAACACATTCTGCTTGAGTAGAAATAATTAGTCACAACTTTCTTTCCTTTTCCCACACCACTAGAGGTCACAAAGGGGGTTTTATCCTGTCCCTCTGCAGCTGTGCTCAGCCACTGGCCATGGTGGGGAGCTGGAGTCCTCACTGTCATTAGAACTGTGCAGGCCAGGGATGGCCCTGCTCTGGTGGTAAAGGAACACAGCACCAGCGTCAACTGCCCACGTTGGATCCCAGCTCAGGCACCTGCTTGCAAGCTCATTGACTTGCTAAAGTACCAAGAAACAGCCAAGGGTTTGGTGTACAATTCTAACTGCAGTTGGAGAAAAACATCATAAACATATCAAGGCATCCTACACACATGACTGAACAATGTACAGATGACTTGAAAATCTGAAAGTTTCAAAGACCCACATGATTTAAAAAACATGCTACAGTATGGATGTGGTTCAAAAAGGGAAAAGAAAGCAGAACTGCTTGGGCATTGCTTTGCTGGTTGTTTCTTTTTCACTTTTTCTTTTTCTGTAAAATTGAAACTGGAAAGACTCAACCTCCATTTTGAAGGATATTTATCACACATCCAACCGTTCCACTGAAAAGTTTTTGTCCTTCAGAGCCAGAGCTCCAACAGGGTTCAAAAAGCAAATGAGAAATGTCAGGCATGGCTGGAGGCCAAAATGGCAACTTTCTGAACTGATTAGGTTTCTGAACTGCCACTTCCCTTCTGATGCAACCAAATCTCTAGTGAGTCCTGATGTGCTGCAGGGACATTTTTAGAAGGGGACCTTGGTGGAAGTGG